AAAAGGAGAGAGAGGGAGGGAGTTGGCAGGAAGTTGCGGCTGCAGGTTTCTTCAGGACGCCTGATCAGGGCCTGGACAAGCCTCTTGTTTTAACAAAGAGCTTAAAATGGAAAAAATTTATGATTTTGCTTGGCTTTTTTACTTTAAATTTTTTTGCTGGGTACAGTACACGCACACTGCAGATGTGGGTAAAAAGAAAGGTACGCCACTCTGAAAAAAACAAAAACAGACACTCATCTCATCCTCTGTGCATATACCACCCACTTTCTCTCTCTCTCTCTCACACACACACACACACACACACACACACACACACACACACCAACACAGACCTTGTAGAGCTAAGCACCCAAACCACCCACACACAGAGGCAGACATGCGCAGTCGCAACGCGAAGCCAGACACACGTATGCAGCACATAGATCCGAGACGCACACAGAGCACGGACGTATGATCGCACGCACACACACACATGCGCCTGCTCTCCCTCGCGAGGAAGCAGACGTTAACGCGCCATAAATGGAGATGGAAGGAAGCGAGAGGAGCACATCCATACATTAATATGCAAACGCACGCTAAAAACACAGCCACACGTTGTTCGTCCTCTCTCACGTGCACCTTGCACACACACACACACACACACATAAACAGACCATACACACAAGGCAGTATGCATGCATGCATGCATTCATACCAAGATCATCCAAGCGTGCCTGCTCCCACCACCTCAGCCTCCTCCCTGTCTATTCGTCCCTCCTCTCCAGGGAGACTCTCGCTGTCCTCTTCCGTCGCCATCTCAGATATTACGTCCCCCGTTTGAGGAGTTTCTACACCCACAGCGCTGGATTTCATTTAAACAGCTGATTTACAAATGGCAAATAATAAACTGTGCACTCCTTGTCCTCTTAGTCTTCTCCTGATTAATTTTTGTCCTGCTTTACTTTGTCATTATTTTCTGATCGAATCTGTACCGTCCTTCAGGTACCGAACTTGCCGTAAACTGTGCTACAACTGAGCAATATGGCCTAAAATCAATATCGCGATTTACCGAGGAGTTCACGATAAATGGACAATATCACGACCCCCGTCACCCGCACCGAAATTAAAGGCTGTGATAAATACCTCGCAGTCGGGTTTATTGACGGTATAATTCTGGTTTTTCGCAGTAATTTTAATGCCACTTTAATGAACGTTAAAACCACAACTAAATAAATTAAGAAAGATTTGCACTTTTAGTTGTTATTGAGCAAATGGACAAACCCAACAAGTTATGAAATAACTTCTAACGTGCTGGCTCAACCCAAAATATCACCTAATGATTGGTGCTTTTTTTTTGAGCTCCTCCACCAGCTCCACCTCTAACAATCCGTATTTCCTCCGTTTCCTCAACATCACTGTCTCTTTTACATCGTTTTGGCGACCCGATGGGGGTGGAGTCACGTGACTACAAACCATACAGGTAGCGCTGCGTCTTAAAGGAACCTGATCCCAGGCTTCGCTTGTACCACGTGCGTTTTGTGCTTCTCAATCTGTTAGTAGAGAAATATTCCTAAAAAAAAGATTACTTATATAAATACATAGATATTTATGAACACAAATGAAATGGTGGAAAGTGGCAGAAAATCTGGTAAATTCCCAGAAACTTTACATCAAATTTGTGGGAGTTAGCTGGCAAATTTGGAGAAAATATCAAATATCACTTCTTTGTTGTAATACGAGATCCATTTAATGTTTTTACGTAATTATTAATGTATATCAAATGTTATTTTCCGACGAGCACATTTCCTTTGGTTGTATTTACCCAGAATGCCCTGTGCCATAGTGCGCTTCCTGCTTTTGAAGCCTTCTTTGGTCCGCTTGGCATTCTCACATGCATTCAAATCACTTCAATTGAACCAAGACCTGGTTTGTAGCCGGACCAGAGTTTGCTTCTTTTTGCTCAACATCAAAGTTTGATTGCGTATTCACATCCTCCCAAATTTTTTTTTTTCAAATCAACTACATAGTCGATTGAAGCGGATTAAACTGGGCCAGTGTGAATGTGCCCTCAAATTCCAGGTTTTTTCCCATAAACTCCTGCTGATGCACATGGGAAGTCTGAAAAATTTGTCCCATTATTTTACCTAAATGTATTTTCTAACCACGGGTTTCAAGACCTTGTTATTTCTTAACACTGATCTGGAAACTGTCAGTTCTGGTCTGAAGGAAAACCTCGGCGTTGTGTTTGAACAACTCTGATTCAATCTGACCAGGAGATTCAAGTTGATTCTTTTTCTCGCTCATCTCTTTCTTTTCAGCGTGGGGAAGACCCAAAGATTTGTTGAAGGTCACAAGCTCCTCAGTCAACTTTCAGGCAATTTACTTGTTGCTTTTTGTTTTGCTACACAGGCAATAAGGTGCTTCATTAAAACAACTAAAATAAAATATTGAACAAAAACAATCATAAGGAAAAGGAATGGACCTCGCTAGCTTATTGTTCTTAGTGATTTAGCCAAGTAGTTTGGATAAATAAACATGGCGGACATGCATATGAGGTCACTGTGCTGCTGTTTGTCTTTTTTGCACCTTCGATGTCTAGTGTACGGATGAAGATTAGTGACACTAAAACTCTGTAGTGCTGCTAAATATGTCTAAAAATCACATTAAAAGCACTGCTGCTGTCATCAACCTCACTGTGCAAAATCCACTTGGGCTTTTATCGATTGTCACCGTTCCTGTTGTTTTGAACGTTTTCATTGTTGCTCTGTCCATCGATACAGGAAGGTTTAGTTTTACTTTGGCGAGATTGTCTTTTCTTGTGGCCATTTCCTGTTTTATGGAGACAGTCACACATCAGCTCTAATTGAACACCATGTTCTCTAATTTTTAAAGTGAGTTGGCTAAAGACATTTCTTGACACCTTTTTTTTTATCTTTGAATTAATTATTCTTAATTAAAGGCTGGGTTTTTCTTGTTCTTACTTCCACGCTGCTGCAATAATAGGGAAACTTATTTATCTATGCGTATTGTGAAGGTTATCGTGGCATACGTCATAATGTTACGTTTTGAATATAACAGTACAGCATACATGTTCATGAATAATATCTGCCAAACACATGTTTTTTGTACCTTATCGCCACTGAACAGTTTATCATGTTTAAAATATTTCTTTTATAAGTTAGCTTAAAATCTCAATATTTAGCAGTAGCATTTTAATTACATAGGTCTTTTTTTTTTTTTTTTTATTTAATACTGGCAAATACACGTGTGAAAACATCGAGTTGAATTCATCAAACTTTCACATGAAGGAGAGGTCTCACTGGTTTTGGGTCTATGTAAAAAAAAATACAAATAAAATAAACTACTTAAAATATGATCAAACATAGCAGAAACAGTCATTTTGAGTTGGATGTGAACATAAACTTCAAATGTTTTGATTGTTGCAGTATCTGTTTTTTAAGTAATAAATGGCCATCCAGGCAATAATCTCGTTGAAATCAGGCATTTTGGCAACATTGTCCTGCCTTTTGTGTTCTGTCCAAAACATCCGAGATCCTTGAGGTTTGTTTGACACACCACAATGCCCTTCACGTCCAAACAAATAGTCTGCGCAGTCGAAAGCTCTTACTGGCTTTGGCGGATTAATCACGAAAGAAAGAAAGAAAAAAAAACTACTTAGACAGGCTTTCAATTTTGAAGGTCATTTGTTAATTTCCTTGAAAAATTTTTTTCGTCTTTTATTTAAATTCTTATATTCAGCCAAAACATCTGTTTCTATGGCGATGTGTTTTTTTTTTTGGTTGGTCTCCCGTTTATTTTGTTGCATCTTTAGTAAATAAATACCGTAACGTTCCTTTAAAAAGCTGACAAAGAACTTTCATAGTGTTCCCAGCATGCTCCGCACACAGAAACAAATCCACGTTCGCTGACCACTTCGATGTGTTTCGTCGGATTGCCGTGTTTCCCTGGTGCGCTGTGACCGATGGGACCGGCAGCGCCCCAATGTGTATTAGCGTGCAGATCTGAGCGGTGAATGAATCGACCAAGCGTGTGTGAAAAACGTGCCGTCTGACTTCCCACTCTTTCTCTCTCTCTCTCTCTCTTCCCAGCAGCGCACACACTCATTCATCCCTCCGTATACACACAGAGCTATATTCCCTGCCAAGAATTTGCGCTTCTGTCAATCCCCAGCACACAACCAGCCAGAAAACGCCTGAGGGAAAACCTGCGCTCTTAGCGCCGCAGCTGCAAATATTTCAATGCAAACGCGAGATAAAAAAGGACCTCACACACTCAGTGCTTTGCAAAAAGTATTAACACTCCTTAAACCTTTCCACATTTTGTCACATTTCAAGTAAAACCATCTTTGTGTTCTATCAGGATTTCATGTGATAGATCAACATAGAGTGGCGCAAAAAAAGCAAAGTGGAAGAAAAATAAACACAATTTTAGTAATATTAGTGTGGTTTGCTTTTGTATTTACCTGCTCCTACTTTCCTTTCCTTACTGTCTTTAAATACAAGCTAGACGACGCGACTGCCTTCAGGTGTTGTTTAATTCTCCAGTCTTTCCCAATTCCATAATCAACCAAAATTTACCACTTTGAAAATCCAAAGAAATTAAATCAAGCTAGTTAAGTTCTTTCTTCCTTCTTCTGTATGTAAATTTGGAAAGGGCTCTCACGATAAGATATCACAAAATCCCTTGTCAATATTTCGAAAGTAGCACCAAAAAAACCCATATTTTGAATGTTGAAATCCATGTACTTTCTTCCTTTCATAATCACAATCCTTTCGTTTCAGCCTGTTGCTAATGCTGAAAGGTGAAAAAGCTGAAGGCGTAGAAATACTTAGCAAAGCACATCACATGCACATCAAAGTAGCTTCGTGAGCTCGGAGGTGGAGACTTGCGGTATTTACAATTTCGAATTTTTCTTTAAATATATTTGTAAAAATGGGTGGTAAACATTGGAGAAAATTGGACGTTAGCTAAAAAATTTGGTTGTTTTTTTTTTTTTTTTTTTTGAGGGGTGGGGTTGGGGAGTTGAACATTAAAAAAAAAACCCATAAAAACATGCATCTTCTGCTTCACAAAAACGCAGCCTGATTGTACTTGTACCACATAAAATCATCGCCAACAAATTTCTTTGACTGCAATCTGTAGCTATGTTGTCCTCCCACAGGAGCCTTGGGAACAATAATAATAATAATAAAAAGAACAATGTAAACAAAAAACATTTTTGTAACAGGGTGTTGGGGGTTTCAGACAGCGGGGCCAGGAGATTGTAAACTGTCAATATACACATCGAAATGTACAACCCTCGACCTCATCGACGCCACAAAACACTAAACAGTCAAAGGAAAATGGGGCTCAGCACAATCTTTCAGTCGTCACTGCCTTACAACGCTGTAGTTCGGACGCTTCGCCTCGCATACATTCAATATCAAAACAACAGTGTTACCGGAGTTTGGGGGAGGGAAAATATCGCTCTCTCCAAACAGGATTACCCTCACTGACAGCCCTCCCCAGGGAATGTCGGTGATTGATTGTGAAGGGAAAGAGCCTTGGTGACAATAAAAGCTTAAAAAAAAAATGTGGAAAAACTAAAAGTTGAGAAAGGTTGCACAGGAATGAAGAGGTGAGTGTGTGTTCGATTTTGGGGAACTAGGGGGGCCACGCTCTTTACTCTGCAACCTTTCTCCACGTCTTTCTGTCAGTCTCTGTCAGAAGAACGAGAACATTCTGATAGAGAAAGACAAAAGCAAGCAAAAGGAAGGAAAGTACAAGAAACTGACCAAGCAGTAGCTGCGTTTCCAGGACAAATGTGCGCAAAACGGTTTTGATAATCTGCTGAAGTCGAAAAAGCACAATTTTGCAATGACGGTCTTTCCCATTAAATAAGAAACGCATTTGAAGCTGCATGTGAATACATCCGTTCACGCGATAAGTCGTTACAAACGTGGTGTCATCATCCACCAAGCGTTTCCCGTCTTCTCCCAACGTGTATTTTCCGCCGCAGGAACATCCAGTTGTTGATCATGCTGCTCGAGTGATGGGACAAATGTTCTTTCCGAAATACGCCAAGTTCAACCAAAAAAAATCTGAAAAACCCCTTCATCCTAGCACAAAGACGTTTTTATTGAAAAACGTGTTTGTTTTTTCCCCAGAATTAGCATATTTCCATTTATCTAATTTACTTTCGTAATTCCAATTTGCGCAATTACATGTCCAATGGAAACGCAGCTTGTGAGAGAAGAAACGCATTCCCAACCACCTGGCAGCTGGGAGGGAAGGGGGGGCGTTATGTGACAACCGTCATGGAGACCACGGCGGTCTAATGTTCTCGACTCTTTACCGCAGGAGAACGAGTCGGTCCGATCCGCCTCCGTGTGATCAAAATAAAGTGCTGCCGTCTCCGCCGGCCCCTGGCATGGCGTCAGCCGGCATGGTCCCGCTGGAAGCTTCGCTGTTATTGCCGGCCGCCGCCACGGCTTCCAGAGAGGCAGGGTCGAAACCCTGCTCCACCCCGAGCACGTCGGCCTCCATCTTCACGCTGTCGGCCAGGAAGGCCGAGTATGCGTCGCTGTCGGCCATCAGCAGCTTGAGCTTGGGGATCCAGCTCTTCCGTACGACGCGCCTGGCGTTGGTGCACATGTCGGCCGCGATGGCGTTCATCTCGCTCTCCTTGAAGCTCGGCGCGAAGTTCTGGCAGTAGACTGGAGGAAATGAAAGAAGAGAAAAGCGGAGACCTGTGAAGGGTATCACTTTAACAGCAAGTGCCTGACAAAAAAGCCAAGATATCACAAAAAAAGATAATACTGTGAAGACTCACATTTGACCGCATGCAGCACTCTGTTGTCCAATGGCTTCCGGCTGGGGTCGTTGGTCGATGAGCGGATGCCGGTTCCACAGCTGTTAGCTAGTGTGCTCCTAACCAGATGAAAAGGAAACAAAAGATCCCTTTAACCTCTTACTCACATATTTGATTCCATAAACTCTAATCGGTTAATTTTAAGGTACGAAACTACCAATAATGTAGAAAATTTATATTTAATGATGCTGTTAAAAGCTTGGAAAGTTCTAAAAAGCCCAAGAGTAGCAAAAGGACAAGGGGTACACCGATTGCAATTTTCTTACCAATCACTGATTTTAAAAAGCCTGACCTGCCAGGACCAAATTTTTTTCTCTTTGTCTAAAAACCTGCTAAAAATAGCAACAAAGTTGCTAAGTTGGCAACAGTGGTGAGACTGTTGTTAACAGCACATGTGAAATTTTATTTGTTTTCAAAACAAATAAAAATTTAGGGCTGAACGATTCATCAGATCAGTCATGATGAATCGACCACTGGGATGTTTGTCAAACAATTTAGTGATAGATTAATCGTTAATTCTAACATGCAGACAGCAAAAAAAAAAAATCATTTGCCATATTCACAGCAGTAATTAAGCCAGAAGTGTACAAAAAAATTATACATTTTGCGTTTAAGGTGGCCTTAGTCTGTAAATAACTTAACTCCTTACGTGACCTAGTTTTAGCTTCACCAAGTTCAAATTCAGTAATAAAAATCTCCCATTGAGCACCTTTTGACATCCAGTTATTAATCTGTTATTCCACAAAATAATGAACAGACCAGCCCTACACTGTGCTGACGTTATGTCAAGCTAATAGAGCTGAGCTTTTCACGTGACGACACTAAGAGTATTTTTCTAGCTGCAAATGGATCCATTACTGCAAATAATAAAGGCTGCTATTGTATATTGTAATGTATATTGTTAAATGAAAAACTACCAGAATATTTTTTATTGATAAATTGATAGACAAATTGAGAACTCAAATAATCGCTGGTCACAGTCTTATGAAAATTTGGGTGTGCATCTGGGATTCTGATGCAAAAATTTAAACAGTATTGATTAAGATCAATCTTCGTTTTTGAAATTCTTTTCATTTTTTTATATCCTTTTTCTTATCCAATTAATCGTCAGAAAAATCAATAGAGTAATAAAGTGATAAGAATTTGGACTGCAACATTATCCCAATCCTAATTTGGGATTATGTTGGTAAAATTTTAACTGTATTGATTATGATCAATCTACATTTTCCAAACTCTTTTCTTTCTTTCTCTTTCTTTCTTCTTTTGTTCTATTTCTTTCTCATGTCCTTCGCAGCTTCTATCATGTTTTCTTCTGACTCCATCCGTCTTTCTAACCACACCTTGATAAAAAGCATCTCCGCAGCATAATGCATGTTTCACCATGGGGGATTGCAAGATGAGCACTGTTTTCTTCCACACAGCACTTTGCATGCAGACAGAAATCTTCAGATTTTGTCACCTACATGACTATCTTATCATGTTTTGATTGAACACGTTTGCAGCGTTTCTAACATGTTACAGAAACATTCTCAAAGCTCTTTCCAGTGACAGCAAAGCTTTTAAAAATAAAGTCAAACAAAAGTTGGTGATATGACATGAGATGATTACCAACTACGTTGACCTCAAAATAAATTCACCTTTCATCAGAAAAAAATTGAAAGAAAGAGTATTTTTCAAATCAGTCATCAAAACGTTTCATCTTTAAAGCCTTCAAGAAGGTTCTTTGATAACAGCTTTTCTTCACTTGATCCATCTTCGCTGCTTCGCTCTCCCTCCCGCCCACCCGCTAAGAAAGTTGACGGCAATCAAAAGCCTCGGCATGGCAGCGAATAGGCAGGATTTCAGCCACTGACCTGTCAAAGAACGCCGCCAGCAGCCGCCTGAGCAGCACTTTGTGGCGGGTGCCAGCGCTGACGTGACAGTTCATGAGCTGGGCGCGCGAGATGAAGACCGAGGTGCCGCTGACCAGCTCCAGCTTCTCCGCCGGGTCGCCTTCCTCGTAGAGCTTCGGGTGGCAGCGGTTGCCGATCTGGCTGATGAGCTCGGCGGGCAGCGACGCCAGGTCCTGCCGGGACCGCCCCCCTTTGCCTCCACGCCCGCCTCCCGAATCGGGGGCCAAGTCTGGCAAAGCCTCCACCCGTTCTCCGACCACTGGAGACGAAGGAAAATTTATTGTTGCTGTGAAAATATTTCTTCCTACTGAGATCTGAAAAACACGGCAAATATTTCAGTTCTCCCAAATGTTTTTCAGAACCCTCCCACGGTCTTAGCGTGACAGCTCAGGAGGAACGCAGCAAATGTCACGGTCGGACACCGAAGCCACAAAAAATAAAAAATAAAAAATTCGGAAAAGCATACGTGGAATCAATGCAACTTCACCAGACTATGCACAGAGTAAAAACAAAACAAAACTGGTGCCCATCTCGATTGCAGGAAGGTTTTAAATTTTTTTTATTTTTTATTTTTTGGGATAATAATAGCGCAAAAAAATTCTAAAATGCAACACATTTTATTAAATATTTGTGAGCTTTAGTAAAATGAATAATATTTTTACATCCCATTAAATTAAAATCCCGGTTACCACTGCTTCCACTAAACACTTTAAGACAACAGCTGTGACAAAGTGCTCTACGGATAAAAGCAACAAACGTTCAAATTATGGAAAGGACTAAAGAAAAAGACAACAATAAAATCAATAAACGCTCAAATGGAAATAAGATCAAAACTCTCAAAATGAACCGGACTTTCCAGGCAAGCGAACCAAAGCACTAAGAGGTGGAAATGCACCCAAAAATAGCTAACTTAGGGGCTTCTTCACTCTGCAACAGGTTTCGTTACAGAAGAGTGTTGCGTGATTTCAACAGGACAGTTTCTGGCTTAAATCAATCCGAACGCGTTGGCCTATTCATTTCCTCACCTGCCGCTCCGGCGTTCAGCATGCTGTACATGGTGTACATGTTGCAGATTTGTCTGTACTGCTCTTCGGCGCTCTCGTCCGCGATCTCGTCCTCCTCCTCATCGTCGTGGTAGCTGATTGGCGAGTCACTGGTGTACATGCTGAGCGTGCCCGGGCTGGTGCCTTCAGGGGTGCCAACATTGTTGTTGTTACTGTTGTGGTTAGTGTTGAGTCCAGCTCCTCCCACTAAAGCGCCGCCGCCACCGCCGGCTCCCATCGCCACACCGGTCGCCGGGCCTCGGCCAGACGTGTCCTGCGTCGCTGCGTTACAAGACGAGGAAGAAGAGGAGGAGGACGAGTAGCGTGCAGCTTTCCTCATTCCACCTCCCCCGCCTCCTCCAGACCCCCCGCCCCCGTCCCGGTTGGCCCCCTCCCACAGCCGCTTGGCCACGGGGGTGCAGACCACAGAGTAGGGTGAGCCCTCCTGCCGGGGAGGAAGGAGGTATAGCCGGTTAATTATCATCACACTCAGACGCTTTAGCAGCTCATCAAATGCTCACGACTACCAAGGACACGGAACAAACAGCGACATGTCAAAGTCCGTTGTGTGGGGTGTCAAGCAGTGAATGAAAGAGATTAACAGTTGATGTTATGAAGGTTGGTTGTAGGATAACTTTGAGAAAAAGCACTTTAAAGTTCCAAAGGCACTGTTTCAACTTTTGAATATACCAAAGCCAACGCTAAGCGTCAGAAATCATTTAATTACTCAGACAATCATAACACAAACCGTCCATGGATACTGAAAAAATGCTTTGTAACCCCGCTTACTGTTGAGGTTCTTCAATCATTTTCCCTTTATATAATTTTCTGCAGAATATTAGACAGTGTTTAAGGCCTTTGGTCAGAGGGTACCTGCTGCTGCTGTTGAGGGACTTGCTGAGGTGTAGTGGCCGTTTGTTCCGACTTCACCTTGGATACCAGGGGAAGAGGCGTCAGACAAGAAGCAGGCCTTCCTACAGGCGCTGCAGCCACACCCATCCCCACACCCACCCCTCCGACTGTCTGGGTGACTGGACTCTGGGGCTCGGAGGACGGAGTCTCCTCAGCATGGAGACCCTGGGAGTCACAGCTTGGGGAAGAGACCTAAGAGGATTGGAAAATGAAAGTTTGATCCATGCACAGTATGTTGATTTTATGCTTTATGTTTTGACGGTTCAACATTTTTAGGAGTTTTGTCCTTCGTAGATCCTTCACAATAATTTTTGTGAATGATTATGGAGGGATGGAGGAGAAAAAGATGAACAGTTGGCTGAATGTTTGGAGTCACAGTCAGATGGATGAAGAAAATGGATGGATGATACATATGTAGGTTTTGTATGGATGAACACACAGACAGACAGATAGATGGATCATTTCTGAATGGATAGAATGACGGACAACTTTTGGGGACAGTCAGATTGATGGATGAAACTTTTAGACAATGGGACCAGGAATACCATCTTTCCACGCTTACCCAGTCCTCAGGCATATTTCTACTTTTATAGACTTTTCTAAACTGTACACATACTTTTGCGAACTTCACTTTAAGCACAATGCAATGTTTGTTCTAGTTCAAAGCTAAATGACAAACTGGTGAGAAAAGGTTCTGATCAATATACAGATCTATGCAGTGAGGTACTCCAAACCCGGTCAGATCACCACTGCTACCTGCAATGTCACTGTCATCGTTCAGTCACAACAGCATCCTGTATCAGGATTGTAATTATATTACGGTAACTAACATAGTTTTCTTTGAACAGGCTCGAGAATACGTACATACACATCTGCCACATACTTAGCTCATTCATTCACTCTGAAGTCACCTTGAGGAAAAACTCTGTGCCTTTCTCCATTATCTGTTGGATCTGGAGGAAACCGGCGGTGTACATCAGCAGGAACTGGTCTCCGATGTTCATGCTGAGGCGCCCCGTGTAGCAGAAGGCCAGAATCTGCTGGAAGCTCTGCGGCTGCACAGCCGGCGGCAGCTCCACCACAGAGCTCTTCCCGCCGGCATTGAACAGATCCCGGAAGTAGGAGCTGCTGGCTGCCAGAACTGCACGATGAGCCTGAGGGGTAAACAGTGTGGGGGGAGTGCGGGCTCGTCAAGGTTCAAGCCGCACAGTGATTCGGGCTGAATATATAAACAGACTGATGGAAACAATGTTGGATCCATTAGATTATGACACATTTGCTACGCCGCTAATGGCAAATTTGTCATCTGCCAAAATGCCTGCCAAACAATTAAGGTGATCCAATTTCATGTTTAGGAGATATGGTTTTAAAACACACAGAACTGTTTGATATTTTGTCATGTGACAGCCACAAATTTCAATATATTTGATTCTACTTCACCATCGTTTTGGCGCCCACTCTAGCTCAGCACCCCATCCATCGTATATAGTGCATACACACTTTTTGCACCACAGGATGAATGTTTTGGGAGGGGCTTAAGACAATTGCTCACTGGGTGTTTTACTTATTTTATGGGTAATTATTTATTTACTTTATAATTCTTCTCTCTAAAAGTGTTAAACAATAATTATTTTTTTCCTATCACAATTATTTTGGTTCTTTCTGCTAAAAAGAAGGAAGGTTGTTGTGTGCCCAAAGACTATTAACTTTCTGATTAGATGTTCATTTTGAATCTTCACCTATTTGATAATACATGCAAGCTTGAGGTTGTAATGTGACTAAGATATGGAGAAATTGAAGTGTTTTGTATGTAAATCCACATTAAAGAAAACTGAAAATAATTATTCAGCTAAAATGTAAAGTACTTCATAATCTACATTTTTCATAAGGCAAGACAAAAAGACTAAACTTTACAGAAAGTTATTAGACAAAACAACTATTTGAAGTTTTAATTACGGAGAAATACTGTTAATATACTAGCGAATAAAATATTTCATACAATCTGACCTTAAAGGCATGCCCCTTGACGACCACGGAGACGTCACAATAGAGGCCCTGCAGCCGCTGTTCGTTCAGACACTCCAGGACATTGTTGCCAAAGTTGGGGATCGCCATCTGCAGCGTCTGAGCCATAACGCTCTGCCCAGGACCACAGGGTCTGCGAAATTGACCACGGCAAGACAGAAAGTCAAAGGCGTACATGTGGCACACAAACAGACACATTTTATTGGAGTAGGAGCCGACCTGATGCAACCAACAAGCAAACTAGTGGTTTCCCAATGCCGATGCTGATGTTGAGCCGATACCAGCGTCAAGTGCTCATACTCAGAAAAGCAAGCCGACACCCCAAACCGATACCACTGTCCTGCTGGACTTTCCTCCTGGGCTGCACTGGGGTGCAACTCTGAATATAAACCACACTTTATACCAGGTGGTGGTGGGAAAAGACCAAAAAGCTATTTGTTGGTCCTCAAAAAAAAAAAAAAACAGATAGGGAAAATGAACGGAGAAGCTACATGGTGGCAAGCTGAAAAAATTTAGAAGTTGTGCTAGACTTATTTGTCTGATTTATTTTGACTAACAGTCAAAAAACGACGGAGGGAAGGATTGCGAGTGGCTAAACGAGGAAGCAAAACAAATGCAAAGGGCAGACAAGGCGGTAAAGAAGACAAAGCGATGAAAGGAATCTTCAGACGTAAAAAGTAGAGCAAAATGGCGACCAGGGTTGCTGACGTGCACCAAGTTTGATGAATTAGAAATTTGGTAAACAGCTCTGATTCAAGTCTCTTTTTTTCCAAATAAAAGAGAATTTGGAGGCAACTGGGCCAGTTATATAAGCTCTTATCTTTACCCTAACCCTGTTTCCTACTTTATAGAACTGTTTGGCGGGTTTTTGCCCTACTTTGACATTTATTTTGTCAGTTCTTCTAAGCGAAGAATAAAAACTGCTTACGTAACTTGTCTATTTCACTTCACCACAGAACAAAAGGAAGGAAACCGTAGATCTCCAAGCGAATAATGTATATCTATCATTAAAGCATGACCTGAAAATGGGTTGTACTTTTGTTTATAAATGCGCAGCACATATAAACTGTAGCTGGGCTCAGAAGTAAATAGCTGGGAACATAAAGGTGAGTCGGAACGCCGCTGAACAAACACGTCACATGGAAGACTGCGGCCTCCGAGCAAAGGATGCTGGCCAGGTTGGGCAGACAGCAGCGAGGATTTGGAGCACAGCAGTGATGCATTCTGTCTGACCCCGCTCCAACCCCAAACATCCCAGTAATCTGTAATAATATTTAACTGATTAGCCTTTCTCTTACGGTGGGAGCGAAACTCTCGGATCAAACCCTGCAACCTAAACAGCAGGCTTCACAGATTTACTCAGATCTTCTCGTACGTCTGGCAAGACCTGCTAACAGAAATTCACAATTTTCACAGCTTATTGTCTGACATTCTACACCAACTTGGAGTCTGACTGGAAATGATAATGAGAAGCTAATTGAGAAAAGTTTTTGTGTGGCTTTACATGATTAAAACAACGCAGTGAACAAATAAAGAAATCATGTTTCAGGCAACATAAAGAGAAGTAATAAAAAGTTGCCAAACAGACTACAATTAATCAATGTTCCAGTTATTAATCAAAAGCTGCTCTAAACTGGTGGATTTTTTATTTTTTTGCCTTGATTTAAAGGAACTCTGTGTTTTGTCGGTTTTGAAATTTTCTCAAGGTTTGTTTCAAATAAAACTGAACACTGCTTCTCCGTGTTTGTTTTTGATTCTGGGGATGCAAAGTAAATTTCAACCAGAAGATCTGAGTTGTCTGTAAGATTAGAAGTAAACAGCTGGGATTTAAGTCTCTAATGTGTTTCGGTCCTAAAGTCTTTGTGTTTCCAGATCTTGCTGCGACATTAGCCTGTCAATCCTAGAAATGGCCTTAAGGTGACAGAAGAATGACTTTGTAATTGTCTTTATGTGTTGTTGAAGGTTCAGGTCTGAGTCCATCACAATACCCAGATTTCAGACCTGATCGCTAGTTTCTGGTTGCAGCAACCGAGGTTGCACGCTGACTCCAGATTGTTCCTGTGCAATGACATCTCTAATAACTTCAGTTCACTGCAGATGGACAGACATAAAACCGCTAGAGACAGACACATCACAAATGATCAAACTTAACAGACAGGAAAAAAAAAATAGTAGAAGAACGATTCAGAATTGAAAGAGAGCTTAATCAAATATAGAAGGTAAGGAAGCTGTAGGAGGTATTTCTTATCACGTTTCTTCTAGTTTTACGATTTTGTTGTGTTTTGAATCATCTATGAAATTTCAATATCAGACAAAGGCAACATGATAAAGTCAACTGATAAAAGTTAAAGTTTGAATCTATATTGGATCTTTCTCTCATTACCCACACAGGCTCTCATCGTCCCCTGGAGGCATTTGATTAATGTTTCCAAGCGAGATCTAAGGAAACCATGCACTTTCTCCAACTCTGAGCAAGGTCCTGCCCCTCATTCTACATGTACGTTTGACCACTTGTCTCATCAAATTAATAGAGTCTGTTTAAGTTGGCTGATTTCCTGGCACAGGGCTAGCTTTGAGCCATAGTCTAAACATGTTTAATATGCCTGAGATCAGGCCCAGTCCAGAAGCTTACTGTTAGAATGCTTAATTAGTTCCAAACACACCAGTTTTGATGTGTTTGGGAAAATTGTCCTGTTCCAACCGTGTCCTTAGTTTTCACTGCCTCGCTGTCAAATTGATGGAAAGTTAAAGAATTAGCACCATTAGCACTGGCAGAGAAACTACCAGTGTGATGCTACGATGGTTGCAGCTAATTGCAGGTTTCTTAGGTGTGAAAACATACATTTTGTCTCCTCCAACATCCCTATTGTCATTGTGGCCAAATAACTCAGTCTGCTTTGTGTGACCATAAAAGTTTCTTTGGATCCTCGCTGTGAGCAATTAGAACTCCAGCCGAGCTCCTGTGTTAATTTTGGAGCAGAATGCTCTTTCTTCGTTGACATGGATGAAGTTGGCAAACCCACAAGTTTCTGAATCGGCCCAGACCCATAACTGTGTAAAAGATTTTATGTACTACACTTCAAGGCTACGCCATGAATCTGAAACAATTCAAATGAACTCTACCAATTTTGATACGTAACATTCAAAGGTCTTGCTAACAAATATAAAACGTGTGTGAGGATATTCAACCAAATATAAGTAGAGTATAACTTTCACTCTTTGTAGATTAAAGCTAATTCAAAGGAGTGGTCATTTTGAGAAAAAAAAAAAACTGTGACCTACTTATTTCATCATCCCAGGGTGAAAGTCTCCATAGTTTGAAGTCGAGAACTATTTTGTCAGTCTGAGTGGTAAATGCGTATCAACTTTTCGCCAGAATATGGTCAAACCCAGCATAGTCATTTGTCATGGCTGACTCCATCAGTGTTTTAAATATTCTCCACAAGTCTGCATGAAAAATATCAGAATGAACAAACTATGGTATAGCTCAACTCAACGTGGTTCCACAAACAGGCAGTACACATCTGAAGTAGGGACTGTAGGATATCAGAAAATCTTGCAATGGCAACTCTGTGACCTTTAGCACTTTAGATATTAGCACAGTTATTTTTGTCTGATGTGGGTATCTGCTGCCAGAAGACACTGTCCAACCGGCTAAATATTGTACAGCGGACCCCCGGTGATCGCGGGGATTATGGACGACAACCGCCTGCAAATAGAAGAAATCTGTGAGCACTTGAGACGCCCGCTGAAAACGCTTTTCGACAAATAACTTGTAGTTACATACCACAGGAAAAAAATGTGCGAATAGCGAACTTGCAACTAGGCGGGGTCCGCTGGAGTAGCAGTCAAATATATACACTTGGGATATATATAACCCCACAATTACTGCACTCCAAATAGTCTTTTGTAATATGATTATTGTACAAAATGAAATTATGGAGACAATATATTTGCAATATATCGTTCAGTCTTAATCTGGAGACCATTCCTCCATCAAACACAGCACTGACGTCCAGGTCTAAGTAGGTCTTGATACCAGCAACATAATGGCCGACAGCATGTCAAGCAGCAGTGCAGATGTTTCAACTCCTAGTTGTGGTACGAGAAAATCTTCCAGAGATTGTCAGCCTCATCTTAAATTCTTCCATGTTTCGCCATTCACAGAAAAGCCACAAAGCCACCAACTGGACGTTTCAGATCAAATTTCTGAAACTAAAATCTTCCTCTAATTGCCTTCTAAACTCTAAGAAGTCGGCAAAAATGAAGCACAAAAGTGACCAAGAGAGACAGCAAATGCAGAAATATCACCCCCCACCCCCCCCCAAAAAAAAAAAAACAATTATAATAGAGCAGCATACTGAATCGCACCATCTTGTTTTCAGAAAGAACAAACACAAATGGATTTTCTTTAATCAAAGTTCCCAGAGAACTCATGAAAACAGCTAAAAGTTTAGAAGTGAAGTGACGCTTTGGGATCGGGGAAAAAACAGAAACCTGTCAAAGCACAAACAGATGTGTGGAGCCATCATTTCACAATAGCATAGAGTGGAAAGAGGAAGAGATTTAAATTCCTACACAACCCAAATCAGTATAGCAGTATGCAGCTATGCACTAAATGCAACTTTGTTTATGCGGTGGCTTAAATTAAACCCGAATAAATCTGAAAAACGCACGACAGCGTCTCTGGTTGCAAATCCTTCCATCTCATCCAAACACAAAATGTCTCCTGGGACATTAACTTCAGACACATTCTGACATATAGGATACATAAAACCATCAAATATAACTCCCCCTGGCTTGAATTAAGTTATACATCATATACAGGAAGCAGGAAGGTTTTTTTTTGTTGTTGTTTTTTGGTCTTAACTCCTTTAAAAAGCTGCTCCTCTGCTACAAAAGCAAGGCGGTAGTGATGGGAAGCTACCAGGTGTAAACGTGATGCAGGATGCTGCGGGATGCACACTCAGCAAACCTTCCCCAGATGAACAATAAATGCTGGGGGGGTCAAAAAAAAAAAATCAAATAAATTTGACTGGAGCGTACCGACTGGGCATGATCAGCTGCTTTACGCCTACACAACACAGCACAGAGGGTAGACGGTCATTAACACTTCAACAAATAAATCATCAA